AAACCCTAAAGGTCACAGGCCCTGTGAGGATTTGATGGAACCTGTCAACACACACCCAAAGAGGGAAAAGTACACAAAGACAATGGTTTGCATAACAACAGCAATAGCTAACATCCAGATGAGCACTTATCCTGCACCACACAAGGCTAATGGCTCTGCCAGGGTCATGTAACCCTCCCGGGGCCCCTGTGGGGGAGAGGGAGGGACTGCCTGCCGAGCATTCGATTTCAGGGCCCCATTGTAAGAGGCCCTCTCTGCATAGATGCTAAGGTTGGACAAAATGCCAAGAGGCCTCTCCCCTGAGCCTCCTGCCCCAACCCCGGATCCCTCCCCCAGCCCCGAAGGCCTTCCCCACCGCCCTTGGCTGCCAGCCCGAGCTCCCCTGCCCTCTCACAGGGCAGCACAATTGAGCAACCGGACTCTCCCTGGAGCCGATGAACCCAGGCTCAGGGCCAGGATGGAGGGAAGCGCTCCTTCCTCTGCCAGGAAGCACAGTCCCATTTCCTGGAGGCCGTTTCCAACCTGCACCTGTTCACTGAATGCAGAGGCCTCCACGGGAGCCACAACACAGCAAGCAGCCAGTGAGGGTGCCAAGGTCTTGCCGGGGAGACACACACACACACACACACACAGTGCAGGGTCCCCAAAGCCAGGGATGACACCCTTCCTGGGGTAGCAGGCATGGCTAGCCATATCCTCTCTCATGTGGGGAAACTGAGGCCCAGGGAGGTCCTAAAGAAAAGTCACTCACCCATAGGTTCTCTCATTAAGTAATTATTGAGAACCTACTATGTGTTGGACAAACAAAACAGACATACTTTCTTTTTAAAAAAATTGATTTTCGAGATAGAGGAAGGGAGAGGGAGAGGGTGAGGGAGAGGGACAGAGAGAGAGAAACATCCATGTGAAAGAGATATTGATTAGTTGCCTCCCAGACCAGGGATCGGTGGTCACCTGCTCCCACCATTTCATCTCACCCAAGAGAAAATGAAGGCCCAGAAAGTATAATGACTTGCCCAAAGTCACACAGAGGTACTAGGCAGAGCTAAAACTGATCTGAGTTCTCCAGGAAGGGACTGAAAATTACTGGTGCAGTCTGGCAATGTCCACATACTGCGACCAGGCTGGGCCAAAATCTCTCATCGCGGGAGCCCCGTCTTCTGCCTTCCTGAGACCACGGCCTGTGTGAGGGGAGAGGGCCTAGGCACCGCGTCTCACGGTGCTCGGAAAGCAATGCACAGGGTCTGGGCATGGAGACACTGATCTGATGTCACTTAGGAGATCTGTGGCTTTGCCTCTCTTGTTTATTGATGAACTCCATGTTCTAAAACTTCCTAGATTATTATTGGCACTCAATAAATATTGGCTAGAGGTCATTGTTTGTTTCATGCATCCCAAGGCCACTCAGAGAGTCAGAAGCTTTCTTTAGCTGGCCTATGCGCCTTTAGTCTGATAACCGTGGCCTGGTTTCTGTCTGGAAACCCATCCTTTCGTGTGAAAGGTCACTCCCTGGAGCTATCTGCACCATCAGCTTCAGTGGTTCCCGTATGACTCAAGCCTGGTCAACTGGGCATCAACTGCTCTGGTCAAGTGATTGATGCAAGAGTAGGTGTGTGATCCAAGTCAGTCTACCAAGTCTAATTTTAAGGTTTTGTAGAAATATTAATAAAAAAAAATAATGTCTCTTTCTGTGGAACTTAGCGCAATGAGGATATACTTCTAGAGTTTCAGGGGTTGAGGAGAACCTGGCCTTAGAATGAAGTTGACTGAGAGGGAAGAAAGGCAACAGATAGAGAAGAACTGAGATAGGAGATAATTGTTTGGGTACCTGGATCCAGCCATGCCTGAAGCCCACATACCACAGGAGTTTTTAACTATATGACTCAATAAACTCCCATTTTTGCATAGGTTAGTTTGGGATCCGTTTTCTGTCACTTACAACCAAGTATCCTGACTGACAGATGACACAGGAAGGATTGACAGAAAAGCTTCTTCACACCCTGGCCAGGTGGCTCAGTTGGTTGCTGCATTATCCCATATACCAAACGGTTGCAGGTTCAATCCCCCGTAGGGGAGGCAACCAATCGATGTTTCTCTCTCACATACATGTTTCTCTCCCTCTCTCCCTTCCTCTCACTCTAAAATCAATAAGAAAACATATCCTTGGATGAGGATTAAACACCTTTCTTTCCCTTCCCTCTTTTCTCTCCCTCCCTTCCCTCTTTCTCTCTCTCTCTCTTTCTTTCTTTTAAACAAAACTTCTTTACTAAGCTCCCTGCCAGATGATCAATCAGTTCTCTACACCTTAAGGCTCCCAACCAGGCCAAATTGCCAGGCAGCTACAAGATAGCCTTCACCTCAACCAGTAGTTCCAAAGTCTCTCTCTCTCTTCCTCTGTCTCTCTCTTTAATCTTAAAAAAATAAAATAAAATCAAGGATGGGGAAGGACTGATGAACAGGACAGAGTGAAGAGAAGAAACTAACCAGCACTTTCCAACACAAGACCTGCACCACTGTAGCAGCTGCTATGACAGTTGTGGATGCAGTAAGAGTCATGGCTAGCCTTCCTGAGTGCTTGCCAAGTGCCAGGTGCTATTCTAAGCACTCTGCATGTATCATCTCATTTAATCATCACAACAACTTTATGAGTTAGGTACTGTATCATGCCTATTTCACTGGTGATGGCACAGAGAGTCTGAGTGACTTGCCCACAATCACACGGTGCTTTGGGAGAAATCAAAGGCTCCTAGAGAGGTAGAACTTTGTGACCAGGCTCAGCACAACCCCTCTTCTTAGTCATGTGACCTTGGGGACAATACCCACCTCACCCAGGACACAGGCCCCTGCACACAGTATACGCTCCCCAAATGGAAGCTGTTGCCAAGAAAGCACTTCAGTGGCTATCAAGTTCAAGCCCCTCAATTGGTTTTATTTTATATTACAACAAAAATGTTTTATCTCTAATCCCACCATACTAACTTAACTCTTCATCTTCCCCTCTGTTGTCCACAGGCATCACTTTCTCACAAAATTAATGTAATTACGATATCATTTCACATCCTTGCTCGTTTGTGTCATAACAATCTGCACGCTCTCTCGGCTTTCAGGATCAGCACGCCAGGGCTGCAGATGGGGTTGCTGCGACCCAGCAAGGTGAAATGACCTCTCCGAGGCAGCTGAGCAGGTTCCGGGCTGGGCCAGAACAAGAACCAGGTGTCCTGACCCCTGAAGCCCTAGTTCCCTGCAGCCCTGGATGCTGATGGAGCAAGAAGGTCAGCTGTCTTAAGAGTTGCTAGGCAGCTACTGTTCAGTCAATGATGAAGCACCACGGAGAGGGACCCCAATCAAGCAGCTAGGTATTTAAAGACAGGGGTGTACTGGTGGCCTTGAAGAGTGAGGAAGTATGAATGTGGGGTGGGGGGATTTGGAAAAGGGAGGTAGGAACCATCTCCCTCCCTCCCTCCCTCCCTTCCTTCCTCTTCTCTCATTGAATCCCTCCCAATCTTTCACTGGCCAATTTGTAATGAGAAGAAAAAGACTTTGACTCTAACATGCTGCAGCTTAGCAAATCAGAGACAGAGGGGGCCAACTCAGAAGCCACAGAAATCCACAGGCATCGGCACCCTGCCCACCCATGGCCCTCCTCCCTCCCTCTTCCCTGCTTTTGGGGGCGATGTTCAATCTAGCTTCTCCTCTCTCCTTCCCCAGCCTCCAGCACAAAGCAACCCCAGCCAGGGACAAAGAGGGGCTGGGTGAGGCTCTGGGGTCCAGAACCCTGTCCTCCACACCTGGACCTAAAGGGTGGGAGAACTGTCTGGGATGAATCTAAGTGAAAATTCTCGCCAGAGGTACTGAAGGTAAAACCCCCAAGTACCTTTAAGAAAGCATAAGGGAGGTGTCCTTCCCCCAGCACCCTGCCCCCCACTCAAACCACTGGTTCCCCATTTAAACTCCAGCAGCAGAGGCTTATCTCAGGCACCACCCACAATGCCCCTTCCTGCCCGCTTGCTTCCTACCTGTGTCCCAGCCACAAAGACTTTGGCCTCCCAGCGCCCCTACCTCTCATTTCCTCAGGGGACAGTCCTTCTCTCCCCTTAAATTTGCAATTAGCATGTTTCTCTCTCCCACTGCCATCTCACCACTATTTACAGAAGCCAACAGGATAAAAACAGACAACATAAAAATAGTTTCCCAACAGCTTTCAGGATGGGGTGGGGTGGGGGCACCACAGACTCTTGGGATTTTCTTTCCTTTTCAAAATGGAAAATGCTAGACTCCTTTATCTCTTCCAAAGCACTCCCCAGCCGTTCAGACCACTCACCTGGGAGCTCCTTGGGGACAGAGACCAAGCCCCCACCTTCCTCAGCTCCCAGGGCAGAGCTTGTCACCAGCCCCCAGAAGTGCTGGTTGGTTCCGTGGAAGCTCACCAGAGCTTCAGCGCCAGTACCCTGTTCTGCCCTCTTTCCATCAACTACTGGGCCTCCTTCCAGCCTTCCAAAAACGCAAGCCAGTCAACAAAACTTTGGCTTTTCTCTGTGCTTAAAACGTTTCATCATTGAATCAAAAAAAAAATTCATCGGCAACATTACAAACACAAACTGAAAACATCAGCGGCGAAAATCATTCCTTCCTCATTTTGGTCATTAACATCACCCAGCAGGGAATGCCAGAGCAGGGGTGGGTCCTCCCTTCAAAGACTCACCCACTCACCTCCTTTTAAATATGCCTTCTTATGTTTCTTTCATTTTGTTGAGGAAGGGATCCAATCAGGGACGAAGGAAAAAACTACTCGTTCAAACTCTTATTTTTTCAGAGAGCAAAACCGTTCGGAAATTATTTCTATGCATAACCTCCTGGAGGAGGCCACGTCCACTCCGTGAGAAAATGGGCAACCTCTGCCAGTATGACCAGGTCAACAGAGCCTGTCAAGAAACCATACAGATCTCCAGGGACCTGAGTCTTGATTTTCTCATCTGTAAAATGGAGCTAGCGCGGCCTACCTTGAGGGTAGCTGTCCAGTCGATCTTCTATATCAGGCGTGGGGAACGTCCGGCCCCGCAAATCATTTGGTCTGGCCCTGCCAAGGCATGAAAGGTGAGTTTATTAAATGTCTGACCAAATATAACAGACTAAGTTTTAAGTTGATAATTTTGTATGACCCGCAAATGACGTTATAAATATCCAAATGGCCCTTGACAGAAAAAAGGTTCCCCACCCCTGTTCTACATGAAAGTGCCCAGCATACAGCTTGGCTCATAGTCAAGGCCCCCAAAAGTGGGAGGGGTGGAGGGGCTGGTCTTTTCTGGGCTTCTCCAGCTCAGTTTTCAGGATGCTCAGCTGCTTGAATGGGCATCAAGAGAGACTGAGGTGACGCCACCCCTGGCCACTGAGTTAGGGCATGGTCTACCAAAGGAAAATCTGAAATAGCGTTTGCCCCAGATCTCTCTTTACTCTGTATATTTACTTACCTGGAAAAAGTGTCCCAAAATATACACCGGTGAAATGACTTGGGGGCCTACACTAGACATATCATGGTGACTGAAAAGAATGGACCTAAATGACATTGAGACTCCCTGAAGCTCGGCTGACATGGCTCAGTGGTTGAGCACTGACTTATGAACCAGGAGGTCGAGGTTCAATTCCCAGTCAGGGTACATGCCCGGGTTGTGGGCTCAATCCCCAGTAGGGGGCGTGCAGGAGGCAGCTAATCAATGATTCTCTCTCATCTTTGATGTTTGTCTCTCACCTCCTCTCCCTAACTCTCCGAAATCAATAAAAAGAATTTTTTTAAAAAAAAGGAACTCCCTAAAAATCATACTTATGTAATACTTGTGCACTGCCCCCGGGGGGTGATGGACTTAGAAGGGAGCTAGGATTCCTGAGGAAGAGCAGGTGGGGATGAAATTAAGGTAGTCCCCAAAACCTGGTTCCAGGAAGCTGATCCCCAATTGATTTCAGAGAATCTTTCTTCTATCACCCTCTCCCTGCAAATGGAATGACAAAATAATGTCGTATGCCCAGAGGTTTATTAATTGGGGGCTGCGGAGGCAGAGGAATAAAGTGGCCTTAAGAAGCCCTCCTGGTAGAAAAAAACCGATGGAGAAACAAAATGTGGTCCATCCACCCACAGGAGTATTACTCAGCCATAAAAAGAAAGCACTGATATATTCTACGGCTTGTAGGAACCTTGAAAATATTCCATGAAAGAAGCCAGACACAAAAGGCCCCATATTATTATCAGGTCAGTGGGGTAACTAGCACAGCCCAAAAGAAGAAAAGCCCATTCCATAAGGAAATTTTCCCAACGTCCGGGAAAGAAGGCACAGAAACGCAGGCAAAGACTCCAGCAGCCTGCGGAGTCAGGCCTCTCTAACCCGGTCCAAAGAGAGGAGCTATTGGGAAAGCAAAACATCTGCAAAGAAATAGCAATACAAGGCCCTCTGACCCAAAGGAAAATCTGAAATAGTGTTTGCCCCAAATCTCCAGGATCGGGAAAGGAAATGGGAACCATATGCTACCCATAGCCACAAGAGGAAGGCATGCCAGGGAGACGGTCACCGGTGACCCCAAACAAATTACTGAGCTTCCCTGAACCCCTCCATAAAATGGGTTCGTGGTGGAATACAGGAAACTCTGTGGTCCATGTTAAAATTTGAGTTCAAATGCCAAGAAAATAGGCTTGGCCCACCCCACCTGGCCCATCCATCCCTTCCTCCTGAGGGAGGTGCCCCCCACCCACCAGCCCATGAAGGAGACTGCAGAAAGTTTTCCTAGGGGCTAGGTCATGCTGTCCTATCCCCCTCCCCTCCTCCTCCTATCCAAACTCCACTCTTTAGCCCATTCTTCAAGACTCTGCACAAATGACACCTCCTTCAGGGAGCCTCCTGGACTGACACCAGGCAGAAGGGATTTCTCCAGAACCGCCACTGCCCTCTGCTCCCTTCATTCCCACAACACTTATTCCTCCAGGAATTCCTCAACAGGGGTACTCCTGGCATTTAAGACAGGGCAATTCTTCATGTCTGCCAAAGATCTGGCCTGCCTGGAGGGCATTTGGCATCCCTGGCTCCTGCTCCCCAAAACCAGGCGTGCTCAGCGTCATTTTGAAACCAAAAGTTGCCCCACACTTTCCCAAACACTGGCCGGGAAGTTGGGACCACCCCGATGAGACCTGCAGTTATAAGTAAATATATTTGGCTACCAGACCATTAACAACCTGGGAAAAAAGACAAGCCTAAGCTGATCAGCATCACCACCAGGCCTGCTTGGATCTGTGTCCTCACAGGCTGGTTTGGTAAACAAATCTAGACTCCTCAAGAAGCTGAGGGTGGCCTGGCAAGAGTCCCTGCTCTAGAACAGGTGATCAAGTACAACGGCTCGAGGACCTGACATATCTGGGTTCACTGTGTGACCCTGGGCAAGTTACTTAACCTCTCTGAGCCCCTCCATAAATGGGGCTAACTCCTAGCAACACTGCAGGATGATTTCAAGCCTCCATCTTCTCATCTCTACAATGGGGATAAAAATCTCAAGCCTCATAGGATATTTTTAGACATGAAATGAGATCATGCAAATAACACACAGCACCGTACTTAGGAGCCCATCAAATGGTAGCAGTTTTTTATTTAAAAATGTGTCCTGTGCTCTCTGCAAATGGCTGCTTTCTGTATAGAAAGGGTTTATGAGAGCAATCTAAATGGAGGGTTCGGGCTCAGCAAGAGGCTGCATTTGCATAGCATATACACTGTTTATTCTTAAATTGCATGTTTTTGTGGGGTGGCTTGGAGAAGGGGTCTAACTCTCCCAAAGCCCTCCCCTTCCTACGGCCCTGCCTTCCCCTGGGAACAAGGATGCCTGTGGGGACACAGCTGTACTCTTCTTCGCGGGAGGGCAAGCATAGCCAGGAGAGGGGAGTAGGAACTGACCGCCCGGCTCTAGGGCACAAGAAGTTTCTACCCCGTGGACTGTGGGGACTACCAGGCTGAGGAAGGCAAAAGCTGCCTCTAAGGAGGAACCCCCTTCCACACTGCATGTCCCACCCTGAGGCCAGCATGCCCCTCTCTTGCTGACACACTGAGTTTCCGCCCACCCGAACTCCACCCCCCCTGCCCCAACCTTATGGGGGGACATAGGAAGAGCTGAGGTGCATCCTCTTCAGCACCAACTGAGAGCAGCCAGGATGGCTGGCAAAGATGAGAAAACGCCCTACTTCCCAAACTAGGCAGTGCAGGAGCTGGGGAGCCAGGGAAAGGTCAAGGCTGGAGCGGGAGGCAACCCAGGCATCCAGACCCAGTGTTGAGCGGGGCTGCGCCCGGCATCCCCGCGTCCTCAGTCAGGCAGAGGATGCCGGCGAAGGCACCTCGCTGCACGCACAGCTAGCGTCTGCGGCCCGGGGTGAATTTAGGTCAAAAGGACCAAGGCTGTGAGGTTCCAGCCTAGAGACCTGGGGAGGGGGCGGGGACCGAGGGCCGACAGAGGAGAGGCAGCGGTCCCGGCCCCACAACTGCAAGCCTGGGGTCGTGCCGCCAGGTGTCCAACCTCCCAGGGCCGGCGTTCGCCCCCAGGACCGGCGGGGTGCGGGGGTGGGGTGCTCCAATTCCGTGGGCCCTCTCCTTCCCTGCGCGCTCCAGCCACCCCCACCTGTCAAGCGCGAGGCGGTGGGCCTAGGCTGCCTCGGCCCCCGGTGACTCGGTTCCAAACTCCGGGACCGCCCCTGCTACCCCGGGCAGGGCGCTGTCCCGCCGCCGAGAGGCCACCCCGAGGCCCCGGCGCTCAGAGGATGCGGAGGAAGGGGCGCCGGGGACCTCGCCCCCACGTGGCGGGGCGTGAGACAGCGCACGTGGGGTCCCCTTAGTGGAGGGGACCTGGGGCCGACCTCAGGGCTTTGTCTGCAATCCCGGCAGTGGTCGCCCCGCCCCGAGGCCGAGGGCGCCGGGGGCGCCGAGGGGGCCGGGGTTGCAGTGGCTGCGTCCCCCGCTCGCTACCCGGCTCCCGGCAGCTCACCTGGGCTCCGCGCCGCCGCCGCCGCCGCCTCCCGCGCTCTGCACCCCCGGCTCCGCGGGGCTCTGCTCCGCTCTGCGCGGCTCCAGCAGGCGCGCGGGGGGCGGGGGCGGGAGGAGCCGCCCCGGTCCCTGTTTTTGCGCGACGCCGCCCCGGGCTGCGCGCGGATTG